TCATTTTCAAATAGATTTACTTTGTTTTCTATAAAGTAAAATGTATATATTTCCGATAATATAAATGGTACAACAATTAAATAATCAATTTATGTTCAAAATCATTTAAGCCGATTTAAAAATTGTGACACAATGAGCCCACAAGTCGTCACTCTTCTTCAAATATTGTGATTCACGGGCAATTAAGGCTGGTCTATCAGCAATATATTTAATGAGAGTGTCGTGGCACACTTTTCCTTCTTAAACAAGATCGTGGCAGCAAGAATCCGTGATGGTTGCATTTCCAAAAACAACGGCGATTATATCCAAGGCACACTTAGGGGAGATTTTAACAAGACAAGTATCCCATGACGATTTTGCTTCGTTGTCATCGACTGAATATACTGGAACAAAGGCACAAACCAGAGCTACAACAATGAATAGCATACTGATCTGGGAGTTAAATTTAGCCATATCAGATTCCACGAGAAATTTACACACTAATTTTCTTGTATGAAAGTATGTGATCAAGTATGTTTTGTATTTGATATTTTAGACACAAACCTGAACAAGCTATTTATAGGTAAATTCAAAACCCAAAGTTACTATATCTCGTAGCGTATAAGAAAATAACTTAATTAATGAGAAGGAGTTTCATTTCTTCATAAATAAATATACTATTAACGTTTAAATTTGTATCTGAAAATATAGTTTTAAAATTTATTGAAAATTTTTAATACAACTAAAATATCATGCTTAATATTTTTTTAACTGTGGTAAATCATATACATTTCTAATCTAAATATTTAAGTATTAGTTTGAGAAACAATATATATGATTTTACATATAGTAATTTTTTTTCATATACTTATCTTTCATTTCTTATATACGATTGGCTACCTCACATTTATTATTCACATTAATAAAATTACTTTGAATTACTTATAAATGCCATCACCGATATGTTTTTGTTAACACTTTTTTAAGGGTTAAAATAAGATTGAAATAAGTATTTGCAAAATAACATGAGTTTCACATGAGCTATATACTAGGAAAATTGACAAAATCAACCCAGACTATTTGCTGGCGAATTTTTTTGATACCTAAACTACAATATCAACAAATATCACACATAAACTCACTAAAAATATAAATTCCCAACCTTAACAACGTGAAATTAGCCATAACCAATATTTCTAGAAACATCGTGATTTAACCGCTTAACGATAAAGACTCAGCCGACACCGTAGCAATA